TCAACCCAAGAATCACAAGTAGAAGCCAAAAATCATCATACAAGTAAGAAAATAGGTTTTGTATAGAATGGGTTACCTTTGTAGCCTAACAATTTCCTCTTTTCACCCTTAAAAGCCTTTCCTAGAGCTCCTCTTCCACACCAACTTATACACAAACCAAAACACAACAAAGATCCTAACTTTAGATAAAGACAACTAAAAGAAGGTCAAAATACCAAAAAGCTAAGGATCTTACCATTTCCTATGCTCAAGATAGAGAAAGTAGGATTCTTGGTAGGAAATCTTGCAAGTCTTGAAAGCTCAATTTCTTGCTTGGAGAAGAAGCTAGACTATCTTAGAGAGAAGCTAGAGTTTTTAAGTTTTTTTGTTGGAAAGGTGAATGAAATGAGAGAGTCTTGCTAGGTTAGCTTGAATCACAAATCTTAGGTGAAAAGACATATTTAACCTTACTAAAGTTGGAAAGACAAGGGAACAAGGGCACAACTCAAGAAGCACAAGGTACAACCTATTGACTTAAGTGACTAGTCAAAATCTAGTCCCTCGACTATCAAATTTCAGGATTTTTAGAAATGGATTAGCAAAGAAACTTGGATTAATTCTTTAATTAATCCTTGATTAGTGTTTAGATTTACGGGGTGTCACACTTCTCAACTCATTCTCAAAAGACAAGATAAAGATGTTCTACATGGAAATGAGATTTTTGGAAAATAATACTTAGGCTCACGTTGGACACTTATGCACTTTTAAAACATGATATACTTGGAATGCAATTTACTGTACAACATGCTTCAAATCTATATATCACAGTGAACTCTCAAGAACACACAATCATGCTTGGTTTGCATCATATCATACTCCGTATACTTTCACAATAATAAGAGACTATAATTTCCATTGAACATAGAACACATTCTAGTCATGCTTCTCTAACAAATCTCATTCACAAAATGTTCATGCTTCTCTATGCAACTACTCAAATGTCATCAGGAAGGCAAAGATAAGCTAAATCCCAAAACAGAGAACTCAGACAACAATTCTATGAAGCATTTCATCACAAATTCTACTATAACATGCTCATTTCTAATCCAAATTCAATGAAATCAAAGCCCAAACGTGCATCAAGACGGCCCCGAGGTACCGAGCCAAGGGCCCATGGCACCTGGTCCGAATTGACACATACCTGAGCCACGAGGGCCCGGCCACTGCACAAGAACAATCTCACGGACCATGGGGCGGGGCTCAGCAAGGCCCGCCCCCCTCAAGCCGCTAGCTTGCCGGCTCTAGGCAACGGCCCTCTCCTAGGGCCGTTCCCTAGGCCCGGCTGGCCACGGCTCTAGCCAACGGTCCCCTTATTGGGCCGTTGGCTGGGGCCGGTGCCTGGTCTAGTGCACACTGCCTGTGCACTATATGATCTCTTCTCATCTGCAATTCAACCTCAGACAAATCCTAAACATCCAAAACAATAACAACACATCATAGACAAGTAATAAATCACCTCATAGCTCAAATACTTCAAAAATCTAGCATTTCTACGCCTTTATACCTATGAAACAAGGCTTCACAGAGCCAAAACTTAAAAGTGGGAGTCCATGGGGTTATACCTTTTGTTGTTTGCACTCTTAGCTTGGATCTCTTCTTCCTCTCAACTTAGCTAGCACCTCCTTCACCACATAAACTCCCTAAACAAACCATACCACAAAGCTTAAGGATAGAAACCTCAGAGATTGGAAGCAAAGGAATGGAACTAGAAAGAACAAGGAGGAAATGGTTGAGAATGGTGTATGAAACTTACTGTGTTGTTCTTTTTTCTACTTCGCAAACAAGGTTTTGGTGAGGCAAAGAAAGAGATCAGGAATTCATCAATGGAATAGTGAAGTTTATATAGGGTGCTAAACCCTAGGTTGATGCTCAATGATTGGTGGAGGGCAAGATGGTACTTTGGCTTGGCTAAAAGAAATATCAGGCAAAGGGGTTGAAAGGCTTATGGTCCACCTTGCAACATAGACCATAGTCTGAAAGGTGATTTTAAATAGTTTGGGGTCAAAATAGATTTTTCGAAAGATGATTTCTAAACAAACATTTGGTTCAGATTTCTCCCAGTCTCACTCAGATAGGTTTCTCAGTTTAAAAAAATTTGGTACGCGAAGTACCTGAAAATTTAGGATTTTGGAATTAAAATAAGTTCCGGTGTTGAATTAATTTAAAATGTAACTCAAAATAATTTTTTTATTATTATAAGGAAAAAGGGAGACCCTATATACACACTACTTGCCTCAAGTGAGGTTCAAACCTTTCACCTCCCACTTCGAGGAGTAACCAGGTACCAGTAAACCACAAACCACTTGGTAACTCAAAATAATTTATTCGAACACCAACTTATCTAAAAAAAAAAAAATTAATGGAGTGAAAATGGCTATTTTAGAATTTCTTAAAATTGGATTTATAAAATTAAATTTTGGCTTGTCACACTGAGGCAGTAACGCAGTGGCAAACTAACGATGATGAGGGTAGACTGCAGAGGCGTTGGAGACATGGAGGCTGGAGCTTGTTCTCAGTTCTCACGGACTTATGCTTTCGCTGCTTCTTCTTATCCTCTTCTTCTCTATGCAAAGTGCCATTTCGAAGAGATTGAAGGAAGGAGGCGGAGGCGGAGAGGTCTGAAGTCTGAACAGGTCAGAATATTAGATGTTACTATGTTAGGGTTTGATAACTTTATATATATATATATATATATATATATATATATATATATATATATATATATATATATATATATATATATATATATATATATATGTGTGTGTGTGTGTGTGTGTGTGTGTGTGTGTGCGTGTGTGTGTGTGTGTGTGTATGTATATATAGCAGAAAAATGCGACGTAAAAAGAAAACCAATTCAACTGCCTACATACACCAACATTATCTAAATTCTTCGTCATCGTAACTCACACCCAAACATTATTACATGGACCATGGTCCATACAACTCTTGTGGACCATAAATAAATAAATAAATAATACATTTTTAAAAGGGAAATGGTACAAATACGCAATTGAACTATTTGGGGAATAACAATTAAGCCACCAAACTCAAATAAGCTTCAAAAATAATCAACGAGACAAAAAAAGAAAAAAAAAAAAAAAAAAAAACAATTGACATTTTTAGTAGGTTAACAACCGGTTTGTGCTGACTGGATTGTCATTGATGGATTATATTAACCCGGTTGGACTAAATTAATTAACCCGAATATATGTATTTACGTGACAAGTATAGGATTAAACGAATTAAGAATGAATATAACGATAATAGTGAACGAATATACGTCACGGGGACGAATATTGTATTAATCGTATATAAAGTGTTATTTCAAAGACAGGGATCGTGTAACAACAAGACAAGACTAGATAAAAGGTAGAAAATGTCTGATTAGGACACAAAAGGAGTGCTATTATACTCCAATGCGCCATAACAACCCCGGAGGATGCGGTGGGAGCTGCCTGGACCGTAACCGTCGCCACAAGACTCGGTCAACACAAGTACCCTGTCCCTTGGCCAAGCTCGGAGCACAGCCAAGCGATGACCATGAGATGGCCGACCCCGGTAGCGGCCGACCTCACGCTAGCTGACCCCGGGGTAGCCGACCCCAAGGTGGCCGACCCCTGGGTGGTAGTGGCCGAGGACTCCGGGGTTGTAGACCCCTCCATGGTCTGCCCGGTCGCGTGCGTAGTCATATCGGGTTTTGGGTCTTATTCGCTTCATATTACTTCGCTCCGGACTCGCTTCGTAATTATTCCATCATCAGTCCCCCACTCTCGGTGCTGCGAGAAGTCATCAGAACAAGAGAGTATTATAGCCGACCAATAATTACGGACCAAAGTTTCGTGCCTGAAATCACAATCCGTGCTCGGATAGAACTTCTCTCACGGTAGGAGTCTGATGTTGTATAAAATTCGAAATCAGTCCATCCTTGTCATTTTTGGAGTCTCCATCCTACAACAACTCTTCCTCATTCCCTATAAATATTCTTCAAATGTTCCAAACCCACTCCCACACACAACAAGTCACATCATCTCTCTTGCTCATAAAGTCTTCCTCTTCCCAAGACCAATTTTGAATTTTGAGACCCAAAAAATGGCTTATACGTTTCCCCCCTTTTATTCTCCTCCTCCTCCTATATAAATACCCTCTTTCTCCCCCATTCTACCACACTACTTCACAAATTCACCTCCTAAGATTTCCTCCCGCCTTAAAAATTATGCCGCCGAGGTCACCGAGTCTACCCACCGAGCCGACGTCGCTGCGCCACCGAGAACGCTGCCGGGTAGTCGCCGCCGACCTCTCTATCCAATCGCCAACCAGATTGCTCCACCACCTGCCGACGCTGTCATCGCTCGAGCCCAAGCACCGCCAAGTCAGGCGTCGGTTGGGCTCGCTCCACTCCCCAACCCCGTCAACTCCTCTCCCTTTGTTGAGTCAGGTGAGTATTCCTTCACCCCCTCTTTTAGAGTTTCTAACGAGTTGTGTATTGCTTGCGAACTTGTTTATGCATTTGGTGCCTTTTGTTTGCAATGAACGAATATTAGCCTTTGCCGAACCCTTTGACTATGGTGTGATATTGGATTCCATTGACTATTCGGACCTCCCGTCAAGTGATGATGAGTCCCTTCACTTAGACCAATTTCCGTTTCCCCTTCCTTATATTGACAACCCCTTTATAGCTCCCTTCTTTGTTTCTTCTCGTGTGGTGGTTGGACGACCTCCCCCACGTACAGGCTCTGCGCCCACTTCTTCCTCTCGGCTGGCATGTCTCCTCCATCTGGACCATCGAATATTACATGGATAGTTTGTTTCTTTGGCGGGTTGTGTAACTCCTTCTCCTCCTCCGCGGTGAGTCGGCCAAGTTTTCTCTTACGCTGGCCAGAGGAGGATGGTCCGAAACCACCCTTCTTTTTCCAAACGTTGCTAGGAGGTTGGCCCTGGTCATGCCCCGACCTTTTAACGTACTAGCCGAGGTACCCTTGCTGGATGAGCTCTTCGATTTGTCTCTTGAGGACCATACACTCGTCTGTCTCGTGTCTATGCTGCCGATGGAAGCGACAATACTTCTTGGGGTCGGCTTTGGAGGAGATTTTCATGCACTCATCAGGGAACTCCATGATGCCCATATCCCCTGCATGGTCCAAAATGACACTCACAGGCTGAGTCAACGGGGTCAACTACCGCAAGGGGCTAGTCGAGGACCCCTATCGCGGCGTGGTAGCCTTAACATGTGGTGGTCCTGTTGAGATTGGGGCGCTTTGTCCCTCCAACCTCGACCTTCCTCCTTCTCATTCTTCCTCCTCTCATCTATCTCTGCATTGGCATACCGCGACGCACGGTCCATCAGCTCCACGTACTTCGTCGGCTCATTCCGGAGGAGGTCGCTGTGGAAAGGGTCGGACCTGAGGTTGTTTTTGAAGAACGGGATGGCCGATTTGTCATCGAAGTTAGCCACCCCCATGGCCTCCTTCTTCCATTTGCTCAGGTACTCTACCAATGTCTCCAAACTTTGTTGTTTTAAGTAGCATAGATCTGCGAACTGTTTCTTTCGATGCATACTCTCGGCGAACTGTGATAAGAACCTCTTCGTTAGGATCGCAAATGTGGGGATGGATTCCTCCGATATGGACCCGAACCAGTCTTGGGACTGACCGTCCAGAGTTGCGCAGAATGCGCGACACATGATGGTGTTGTTTACTCCGATCATCATCATGACGGCCTCGTATCTGTTAAGATGATCCCCAGGATCCGCCGACCCTGTGTAGGGTTTGATGGTCGGGAAATGGAAATCTTTAGGTAAAGGCTCAGCCATTACGTCCTTAGTGAACGGTGTGGCCAAGGCGTTTTTGTAACAACCCCGATTTCTAATCACAACTTAAAGCATTAACTTGGCAAAGATAGGTAAACAAAGTCTAACTGCTATAAATAATGTGCGGAAGCTAAATCAATTTAACGGGGATGCTATGCCACATTTAGGTTAGCTCAACCCATATGCACAGGCAAGTCTAGTCCTCAAACATGAATATCATAATAAAATAGGGAAACTAGTCAAAATCTATCAAAATATCATAAGTGTCTAATATAAGGCTCACAGGCCAATTAGCTAAGGCTAAACAAAAGATCTAAATATAAGGTAGAAGCTAGACTCCAACTACCGCACTCTCATAAGCTAAACTACTCCATACCTGAAATCATTTTTAAAAGGATTAGCGAGAAATGCTAAGTAACCCCACTCCTATGTGTAAAGATACATAAATATACATTTCATACACAAAATAGTTTTGTGACTTGGGAATACATAAGTATACATCACTAACCAACTCTAACTCAGTAAAAGATAGAGAATAGAATCAATTCAAAACCACACGAGATACATACTCAACAATAAGACGATATACCACGAGGTTGTCAACAATGAGACCGAATCAAGAGATATCAACGAAGAGTTATGAACAATAAGAGAGAGATAGATCAATCACAACAATCAAGTATATTCCAGTTCTCAATATAATCACACAATCAACATCAATCTCAAGTACCAAGTCCTCACAGGGACAACCAATCAACCAAATACCGCGGAGTCAATCTCAGTGACTCGATTCCAAGTGGATCAGTGTGGAGGGTTCCCAGTCATCAATTAAATACGCGGGGTCAAAGACCCGATTATGGATTCGCGGGGTCATAGACCCGATTAGAGATTTCGCGGGGTCAAAGACCCGATTATGGTATAACCATCACATCAATCCATCATCTCAATCCATTAAAAGATCCCCACACTGTCCACTGTCCCAACATAATCATCACAACAAGGGTTTATGTAACACCCCGTGTTACGACCTTTAATCCTGGATTAATTATTTAATTAATTCCGTAATAATAATTAAAAAGGATTTAATTTAGACAGGATTCCCTTTAATTAATTAATGTGGTCCACCATGAATCGTGGACCCGAGCCTTAAGCCTATTGGGAATAAAGAGAGTAGACCCTTCACCAGTCAAATTCTAATTAAGAATCCTAGGTCTATAAATCTATTAAGAATAGAAACATAGGTCTTTAATATTTAGACTCTTATTAGGAATCCTAACTCTATAAATAGGGGATTAGAAAGCAACTAGAGTCCTTACCACCCATAATTGTATTACACGAAATTATTCCCCGGAGACTCCCCACCACCAAGCCTAGGGAGATCAATCAGAGAGAGGAAGAACCTTAATAGCCAAGGGAGGATTAATTAAGGCTAAGAGGTAACCCATGTCTCGAAAAAACCTATTTTCCTTGCTATATCTTATTTGTTGGCTCATTTGATATGTGATTCTGTGATTGAGTCTTGATAGAGCCCTTGCAAAGGATTTATATTGTGCTTATTTGATAATCTTGATGTTCTTGATATTGTGATTGATTATATGTATGATCTCGTATTTTAATTATATCTAGAGCCCTAGGGTTTATATCGTGAATTTCGTATTATGATGTTCTTGGCATATTTGGGTGGGATTATGCATGACCGGGTGTTGAGTCTAGCCTAGGACTTGTATGTAGGACTTTGCATATAGATTTCTTGATGTTCTTGTTGTTCTGGATGTTCCTGAACCGTTATGTGATTAATGTGGAGTCTTGGCATGTTTAGGAATCATGTTAGAACGTATTTGGTGTAATTCTTGGTTTAATCCCGTTAATTGAATACGTGGTGTTGTCGTTATGTGTTCGAATGTGTCTGGACATGGTTTCGGGTTCCACGAGAGATCCTGGGACCAAAATGTTACTTGTGAGCCAGTGGGGGGTAGGTGGCGCAGGGGTGCCCACCACCTACCCGCTGCCCATGTTACTATTCCAACGGGCAGCGCTGTAATGGTGTGTTGCCGCCGGCGGGTGGTCCTCCACCCGCCACCCACCCGCTGGAAACCCGGCATGGGTCGCGATTTTTCCCCGTTTGTTGTTTCCCCGTGTCCTATTGTGTCCCGTTGTATCCCATTTGTCGTGTATGAGTCTCGTTTGATGTTTTGGGTATCGTTCTAGGAATTTATGTGTAATACGTTTCGTTCTTGTTGTGTCTTGATTGTTATTTGATTATGTGTTGATTGATTGAATGGTGATGAGTATCGTGGTCATTGCTCAATTGCTGGTGTGACTGATGATGATGATGATGATGATGATGATGATGATGATGATGATGATGATGATGATGATGAGATTGTGATTGGTGGTAATGAATTGTTGGAGATTGGCACCAGTTGTGCCCGGACATTGTACTAAAGGTACAGGCTGTAACACCACGAAATTTTAAAACTTTTGAGACTTATATAATAAATGGAAATTCTTATTAAATCCCAAAACATAACATAAGAGTGCGGGGTGCTATACCACACCTGAGCTAGAGAACTTAGGTGCACAGGCTAACTAACTAATATCCTCAATAATGTCAATACATAAGCATGGCACGCAGGCCGAAAGGGAAACTATCTACTCTACGCTCCAAATCTCTAGCGCGCTCCAGTGTCTACTCATTTGTGCCTGAAAGCCAAATATATCTGTTCAGCGAGAGATGCTGGTAACCCACTCCAACGCGTTGAAATACATTATAGATAGATATATATAGATATACGAAAATCATTTTGAAGCAAGAAGATATATACTTAAGAGACACTAGTTTTAAACCAGGAATAGACTCGACAGATAGGGATACGCACATTTAACAGTTATAACCAAGCATATAAAGATACTAGCATATATCCTATGGTCACAAATTCACTTCATCTTATTCACGTCATCATTGAATTCGTATCTCATCACACAAGCATACTTTGGTGGCGCCACAGGACCAATCGCATGCCCATACATGAGGGTCAGCGCACATAGCTCTGACACGGCCCCGCAGCACCCTGCCTCGTATCGCAATACGAAGGGGTCGATCGCAACCGACCGATGAACCGTAGCTCATCATAATGTTTGATCGCAACTAAACAGTGGACCACAGCCCAAGAGTGATCATCTCACCGCAGCCAGGAATATGAACCGCAGCTCAGATCATGTAAAACGTTTGATCGCAACCAAACGGTGGACCGCAGCCCGAGAGTGTAATTCTGACCGCAGCCAGCTTCTGAACCGCAGCTCAGGGATAACCAATTTGATCGCAACCAAATTGGGGTATCATGCACACATAACACATAGCAAGCACATGCAACTCATATTAACACATTGGGAAAGGGGAGAAAACGTATAAAGAAACCTGTGCGTGGTCATCCAAAAACTAGGAATAGTCCTAAGGGGTTCATACTTCTTTCACCTAGGCCACGGGATACCAATTCAACTAGCATGCGATATATAAGGCTCATTTATCCTACGAACGGTACCCGAAACATCAAACTAGACTTAGGCACGATACTCGGAGTCCGTTGGGACACCACGAGGGTCGGGGAAACACCAAACGGGGAAGCCGAAGACCCAAGGTGGGTAAATTCCAGCGGGTAGCCGGTGGGTGGAGGACCACCTGCCGGCGACAAGTCTTCGGGCAGCGGGTGCCCGGCGGGCAGTCGCCTGCCCGCCGGCTGCCCGCTGCCGACGGCGTCCACTTCGGGCAGCGGGTCCCCCTACCCCCCACTGACTCTTTATCACAATGAACGTCCCGGGATCCGTTGTGGAACCCGAAACCATGCTTAGACACTTTTAAACGCAATTGATGACACTACGTAGACAATTAATGGATCAAAGGCAAGAATCAAATAGCACACATCCTATCATGATTTCTAACATTATAAACACCCGAACATGCAAAATCCCACCCAATTATATCAAGAATAACACAATACGAAATCCCCAATTTGACCTAGGGCTCTAATCATATTCAAGTTATCAAAATCATAGTTCATCTTTTTAATACCAAGAAACATCAAGATTTATCAAGAACATCACATAATCATCAAGAACCTCTTATCATCATCAAGATTATCAAGATCACACATAAAATCATCCCATCAATCATCAAGACCATATCATGAATATTATAAACGATTCATCACGACACAAGCGTAGAGAAGAAGCCAAAGAAGATAATTATAGCAAGGAAAATAGGTTTTGTTGAGACATGGGTTACCTCTTAGCCTTAATTAATTTCCTTGGCTATGAAGGGTCTTTCTTTAAGATTCCTTCTTTCTTGATTTCTCCTAGGGGGATTCTTGGAACTTCTTGTGTGGTGAGAGATTATTGTGGTGTGGGTTCTAGGTGCCTCCTATGTCCCCTAGTTATATACCTAAGAGTCCCAATTAGGGTCCAAATACTATAGGCTTGCTAATTCTATTCCTTCTAGGACAAGGGGCTTGGTTGTAGGGATAAGGGCCCATGGACTATGGTGGGCCTTCTCCTAATTAATTACTGTAATTTAATTCTTTCTTTTGGGTAAATGATTAAATGATTAATTGGTTTTAGGGGTCGTAACACGGGGTGTTACACTCTCCCCCCTTACAAGAGGCTTTGGGGGTGCGTTAACCCACTCTTTCAACCCTGGACATCCCGTATTTTGGCCTCCTGGTTAGGAACGTGGCCCTACGTGTTGTCCTTGCTGAGGTAGACTGGATTTCTGGTGACGTGGTGATTGGAAGGTTCGGATTTACCTTGGTTTCCTGTTCCTGAACTGGATGCCCCGCGAGTGCCCAGGATGGTCTCGATTGCTGCCACCCTCTGATCTAAAGCGCGTGTCGCGTGGATTAAGGACGAGAACCCTTCGTCCGTGATTTGGTTTTGCCTGGTGAGCTGTGCGAGGATACGCTCATGGATAGATTCTTCATTTTGTCCCCTTGGGTTTCCTCCTGTTCGTG